CGATTATTTTGATAAGTAAAATAAAGCAAACGGGAATGTTTTATACAGACACATTCTCCTTCCCCAGAATAAGAAATGTGATAAGCTTGGCATGAAAGAAAAACATTTATGATTTTAAAAATACCTTGGTTGAACCATTTTAAGGTGAAATGGCAGAGTTAATACTTTTGCAAATACCCTCGCAGTCCTTGAAAAGCATTGTTCTCTCATCCCTCGAGTATGCAAGAGGATAAAAGCTTCATGCTTTTGTGATGCCCATTCATGTGTAACTTGAATAATAGCTTGCGGTAAAAAAAAGCATTAGTTATTGTTCTCTACGCTCCATTATCTAGATGGCACCGTGCCATAGGCTAGAAAAGTACTCAAACTAAAAGCATCATATGATTAAATCACATTTCCCTATAAGTCATTATATCAGTCATGCAAATTAGTTGTGTACAAGATTAAGAATATGTGCATGGTGCTATGGCAAGGTAGGTTTGTCTTTGCATGTCGGATTCAAAGCAGTGTACAGAGTATAATGTGTTTGCATAGTAAGTTTCGAGTGTTGAACCTATGACCCGCGTCCCTCGTGTGTCTATAACATTTGCCTAAGGCTGGCTACTGCCACATCACTGATTCCTCCCTGTTTCTGTTTATTGCCTCATACCTTGGCTGATGATATATGTCTGCCTATACTTAGTTGCATTGCAACACATGCAAATTCAAATTACATTAATCCATTACAGCTCGTCTATGGAGTGGGCCAACAGCCAATTCAATGATTTCCCATGAGGGTGACCTGGGTTCGATTCCAGATTCCAACATGCGAATCTTCAACAAGACTTCTTTGTTCTCGGTTTGGCCTTTGTTGTCGTGGTTGAGCATGGAATGTCCACCCAATGGGAAGAGGGCCCTGTGAGAGGCAATGCCCATTCACTGGAACCTGTCTGTGCTCATGCCCTGCAATACCATACAGTATTTTACATTTGAATTTAGTTGTTGCTGTGCTCACCCACCACGGATCTCCCTTTTAAAATAGGCAGACAACTGTCTAAACGGGATTAACAAATACAATAATAAACCTAAACATTCGTGGTCATCAACACTACCAAGATAGTCTATGGGACCCAGCCAGGCATCCCTTTTGTCAACATCTCTGATTTCCATTTTAAGCTTTCGTGACTGCAGGGATTCATATTCTTGGTTCTGTCGGTAAAGTAACGTAGAAGGGAAATAAAAAAAACATAATAAATGAAAACATAAAAAAATGAGAATTTCATTTTATTATGTTTTATTTTTATTATTTTATTATTTCCCTTCTATGTGACTTTACCGAAAGAACCAACAATATAACATCTCTGATGTTGCAAAACTTTCACCACCACCACCACCACCATCATCCTCATGAGCTCTGATCTATAATGTGCTGGATGAAGGCCTCCTTTAGCTGTCACCATCTCAGTCCTGTGATGTAACGATCCATCCGGCTCTGGCAAAGAGCTGATCTATTTGCTGTATCACCTTGGTGGACACAATCTCGGCGTGATCTAACCTTTGGCTCTCACTCCGTCGTTAGTCTTAATCTACTGGAGATGTGTGAAAAAGAGCTTTATAGCTCATCCGATTCCTCCAGTATAAATATTGATTCCGATTAACTGGCCTTTGAGCGACACATCCTGTCCATAAACCCAGTTTTCGTCACTTTAGGTGTATCAATTTCTTCATGACCAATACAAGTGCATTATGCATGACCTTTTAAAATGAGATTAGCACAACATTAACGCTTTACCACTTCAGGTGGCCCGTGGACTGATCAAATATGTGGCCAGAAGAAGTCATTGTCCCTAGATAAAGTTAATTTCCACATACAGAAAATATACCCTGGCAGCTCTTGCTTAATGAGCCGAAAAAAAAACTCCTGTAGAATGTCATCAGTGCACACCTTTGAAACAACAATTTCAAGTCGGTCTTCGCTAGCAAGTGATTATCTTTTGACAAGTCTAAGCCCAGACACGTACTGCAAATATAAAACTGAGAAGAAATACATTATGACAGTGTTACATACCCTACCCTGCGCAGCATCCAGGCTTTTGCCACCAACATTATCATCAATTTACAACATAGACAGCAATAAAAGTGCAGCAAACAACGACCATCGATCCATCCGTCTCGAGACAACACCCACTGGCATCAATCACATCAATCACTCCCCTTTAAAGTGGGCGACAACTCATCACGCAGCAGTACAATGACAACATTACGTATCACACGCGCCCTACACGGTGTATAAATACTTCATAACACGCGCGAATGAATGAATGTAGCCAAGCTGGCAAAAGTAATTCATGCAAAAAGCGGCAGTAAGCTACATCTGGTTAAGACTTCACACAATGACGGCAGCATCATCATCAGTAGCAGTGACGACCCGGCACTTGCAAGCAGCGTTGAACGCAGTGCACCCAAGTTCGCTGAACGTCACCTAATCTCTCCCATTGACCAGCGTGGTGAAGTATGTCAACAACAACTCCTAACGACCGACACGGAGCCGGGGAGGCTGCCTTCGTCCAGCAGTGGATGGACACATGAGCTATGCATGTGCTAGTACAGTCGTAGCAGTGTTAGAACGTGAGCATTTGGTGGTAGCAAGGGCTTAATTAATCACGGAAAGCTGGCTTGAAAGCAACGATTACCGGCGTAAGGCACTACCACTTAGAATATAAGCCTCACAATAGTTGCAATCCTACGCAACACGAATCTCACCCTATAGTGCGCGAATACCAAATGCACGAAATTCATTTTCATTAAATCCCTACAATTCCCTGAACACAATTATACAACTTAAGATGCACAATATACGGCCGGATGGATGTGTAGCGCTATTGCAATGACAACTTGCCGGTGAAACGAGGCACTGATTAGCGGCTGGAACGAAGCACCGATTAAGTTCTGCGGGTTGAGTTGGCGTTGAGAGACTCACTGGGATCGACTGTCGGCTGCAAGAGCAGAGAGCGGAGCTCGGGGAGTCGGCGCGGCGGCGGCAGCGGTGGGGCAAGTCGCGGGGCGGCTCCGCGCACTCGCTCCTTATTTGCCTGCCCCCCCCCCCTGGCCCCTCCCCCCTCCCCCCCTAGCCCCTCCCCCACTGGCCCCTCCCCCACTATCCACCCTTCCAACCCAGCCACCGCCACCACCCCCCCCCCTGACTCCCCCAACAACCACACTTCTCACGCCCACACCAAACCTCCCCGATTCATATAACGGCACCAACCCCTCCCCTCACCAACCCCTCCCCTCACTAAACCCCTCCCCTCACCAACCCTCCTCTCACCAACCCCTCCCCTCACCAACCCCTCCCCTCACCAACCCCTCCCCCTGATCATTCATATTCCTAGGTTTTTTCGGTAAACTCACCAGCCCCTCCCCTCCCCTCACCAACCCCTCCCCCTGACTCCCCAACAACCCCTCCCCTCCCTCCCCAACCCCTCCCCCTCACAACCCTCCCCACCAACCCCTCCCCTGACTCCCCACAACCCCTCCCCTCACCAACCCCTCCCCTCACCAACCCCTCCCCTCAACAACCCCTCCCCTCACCAACCCCTCCCCTCACCAACCCCTCCCCTCACCAACCCCTCCCCTCACCAACCCCTCCCCCTGACTCCCCAACAACCCCTCCCCTCCCCAACCCCTCCCCCTGACTCCCCAACAACCCCACTTCTCACGCCCACCAAACCCCCAATCCATAACCCCACCAACCTCCCCCCCCCGCTCCACGTGTCCCCGCCCAAACGCGCGAGCTCACGCCGGCCCCTCGCGCGAGCCTTGCGCGCCGCCGCGCCATTGGTCAGCGGGATCGCGCGGCCCCGCCTACTCGCGCCCGGATTGGTTGGCGCTCGTAAGGTGGGCGGGGCTAGAATGCGAGGGGGCGTGGCTTCTCGCGCTGGCGGCGCGCGGATTGCGCGGGAGAATCGCACGTGGGTCCCGTGGGTGGAAGTGGAGGGACGCGCTCATTATGTATTGTGGTGGTGGCGGTAGTGGGGGATTTGTAAGTGGGGGTTTTTTTGGCTTCCAGAAGCCCAAGCCAAGGAGGCGCGGCCTCGGCCACAGGTCGGCCGATCGTGAATTGGTCCACGCATTTTTGGCGTGGCGCAGGGGGTTACAAACGGGCGTTTGATTCCCTTTTATAATTCTGAAATTGCGAAATGCATTTACAAACGTCCCTCTTGTCGTGTATACAATTGTGAAATAGCATTTTGCCACATGCTGTTGCATTGTCTGCCCCCCTCTTTGTATTCAATTTGAGGCATTATCTGGCCATTGTACTGTGTCTATCACCACTCATATGAAGACATTTCACAATTCCCAACTGGTGCATGTGCAATCCGATTGACAGTCCACTGCTGAATGAAGACCTCGTCGTGGGGGTCATTTTAACATCACGATTAGTTGCGCACCTCCAATTAGCACTGGTTGGCTACGTACTGTGCGAAAGAAGTTGAACATATACAGTACATACGCTGGTCAGTGTTGGGAGAATGTAGGGAGAACTTAATAAAAGAATTTGCTGTACTGTCTACTACTACTGCTCACGACGCCTACTACGCATGTTTGTGTATCCAGGCTGAATTCCGCTGAGCTTCCCAGGTCTCGGGCGTATTCCAGATTTGGCCAGATGCTGGCATAATAGTGCAAAGCCTGTACGTACTCTTTATTTTTCAGGTATTTTGCATACAAGGTGAACAGATGAAATCTGTTTAATATTTTAATTATTTCCCTTCTACATGACTTTACCAATTGAACCAACAATATAAGATGAAATCTACTTTCAATGCAACGTATCTCGTAGACATTATTGCGTAACTATATTTTCCGTAACGCAGCTGCGTATTTGCATTAGTACAGCAATTAAATCGCGTTGCGGTGTTTTTTTTTCTAGGGAGTCGCACGGGCCACCGTAGTCCAAGCAGTTGCAGGAGGGGTCAAAGTTAGCCGGAAGCCAATCCGCCTCCATGCCGCCTGAACCATCCTCAAGACACGGCGGGGGTGGTGGCATTCGAGTGATCGCGTCGCATTAACGAATCGAGCGAAATATTTCCACGGGGGAACAAACAATCCCAGCGGCTATTCATTCAACAGCTTTAACAACGTGCTACGTGCCGTGCACTCGCCTCGAGCTCGTAACACGGTAACGATTTTACGGAGTAGACCGCGGGCGCGGCCCCTCTTGCGTGTGCGGAGATCCAAACTCGACGTCTGCAGCTCGCGATCAGAGTTGTTGGGAGCGAAAATAAATAATAAAAATACCCGCGTCAACAACGAGGATCACACAACAACAACGACGACAACGCGGCAACATAAACTCACCATCGCACACCTTCACTAAATAACCACGTTAGTAGTCGCCCGGTGGTAGGGGACGACCCCCCCACCCACCCACCCTGCTCGAGTGTTATTTTACTCGTGAGTAGATTAGAGAGCGCCGGGATATTTCCCTCTTCTTTTTTCTTTCCGCCCCCCCTCCTCCTTGCAAAGCGAGGGATGCGAGCGGGGACCTCCGTGCATGGGAGAGGCAAGGGGACGAACACCTCTTGCCCTCGCTGCTGCTGCTGCCGCCTCTCATCGTGCTCCCTCTCCCGCCCAGACTGAAGCGGGAAACACGCGGAGTCGCTTTCATTTCCCCCCACCACCCACCCCACTTCCCTCCCTTCCCCACTGATCCTTCTTCTTCTCCCTCTCTTCTTTCCCTTCTGCTAGCCGCTGCTTGCTCCGGTTCCTACCTGGACTGAACCGGGAGATGCATTGAGTCGTGTTGCCCTCCCTGCTGTTCACTCCGTGTGCACTTCCTCTTGCTCGCAGCCGCTCGGGACTGAGAAAAAGAGATCTTCATCCTGCTGCATCTCTTCCCCTCCCGTGCGTCTCCCTCCCCTCTCCGCCAACCCCCTTGCATCCCCGTCGCTCGCCCAACCACACGGACAACAATTACAGTATTACAGCTGTAAATAACGCAGTGCGCCGGTAGCGGTTACAACAACAACGACGACGACGGCGCCCGGGGAACGAAGACGGCGGCGTGGCGGCAGCGGCCAACAATTCATTTCAGCCGCCGCCACCACCATCATCACCGTCACCATCGCTACCACCACCATCGCTGTACATAATCACAAGGACAACACCACGAAGGCGAGCACGACGACGACCACCACCACAAGATGTCTGCCGCCGCGGCGCGGGCGGCGAGCGGCGGGCGAGACGTGGAGGGGGAGCCCCGCGCCCCGCAGCCGCAGCAGCCGCAGCAGCAGCCGCCTCCCCCCGCTGCTGCTGCCGCCGCCGCCGCCGCGCCCAGAGCCCTCGCGACGCCGGGCGACGCCGCCGCTGCTGCCGCCGGCAAAGCCGCACGGACATGCGGGGTCGGCCTGGGCGGAGGCGGCGGCGGCGGCATGGGTAGCCTCGTCGTCGTGAGCGGAGTGGCCCGGTGCCCCGTGAAGACCGCCCCGCCGAGGCCCGAGCAGCAACAGTTTCATCAGCTGCAGCAGCTGCAGCAGCAGCAGAGGCCGCAGACTGCGACTGCTGCGGCCCCGCTCGGCCCGGCCAAGGCGCCGTCGGACTCCTCCTCCTCCTCCACGCCGCCCTTCATCGCAGAGAGCGCAGCGAACAGCAGCAGCAGCAACAACAACATCATCAGCAGTGGCGGTATCGGCGTCGTGGTTGGCGGTGCCACCACCGTCACGGCTGCCCCGGCGGTGGCTGCCGAGGGCGGCCAGGGCAGAAGGCGAGGCAGGAAGACGCGACGCAAGAAGTCGGGCGGCCGTGCCAAGGGCAGTGGCGGCAGGGGCCGTGGTGGGGACGATGGCGGCGACGGTGATGGCGGTGGTGGTGGTGGTTCGCAGGTCGACCACGTGAAGCAGCTGCTGTTGCTTCACCTGGACATGATGGAGGAGCAGCAGCATCAGCTGCAGAGCAAGGAGAAGGAAATACAGGCGCTGAAGACGGAGAAGGAAGCGGTATGTTGGGGCCATTGCAATGCGGGATTGGGGTGAGGTTGTGCTGGGGATGTTGAGGTTCAGGAACTAGCCATGGGCTCTCATAGCTCGTGTTGTGTAACCCCCCTTCTTCTTCTTACTGGCTGTGCTTATGTTGTGGGTTGATGTTTGTAACTATAACTGTACTGTTATGTGCCCAGCTGTGCGTGTGTATAACTCAGTGGTTGGTGTTTATTCATGATTGTCCATCTGTGACATGCAGTCGAGCGTCTTGGTTTTACGTGTGCTTCATGTTGACGTCTTGTGTACTTTTAGAAATGTGCAAATTGGACGGAAAGTACTTTTATAACCATTCACCTCCGTGACTAAATAGGATATTAGAGCCTTCCCACCCTTTGCAAGCACACGTGTGCGCCTGCGTTCACACGCCTCGACAATATCGTCCGTACGTTTGTGTGAATGCACGAATGTATGTGCTCGTGTTGTGATATATAAAAGAGACCAATGTTGCAGCACAGGGGTTTCCCTCCCCGTCGTCACCGTCGCCATGCTGCTGCCTGCCAGGCTTTAATATCTGGGGGACCTTGGCCATTGCGGCCACAAGGAAGCCCCCTGCCGAGCAACAACAACAAAAACCATCGACCGAGGACGGGAGGGGGAGGCGAGTTTCTGCCTCGCCCGGCGGGAATCCGCTTATGGGAGTAGGAGGAGGTAGAAGCCCCCGATGGGCATGTGGGCGGGCTGGTAGGGGAAGGACCCCGGGGATGTAGAAAAAAAGAGACGCATTCCTCTGTACGCTGGGTTCTTATGTCTCCATCATCAATCTTCATATGACGCCATCATGATTGGCCCCTTTATGATGTGTGACCGCGTGTTTGGGAGGGTTGGGGTGGGTGATGTTCGACGCTTTGTCCTCCACGTGCCCAGGGGAGCTTCTTCAAGAAACTCAATCCGGCACGTGGAGGACGAAGCTGACTGGTCATTGTCGACTGGCAAACCATACAGAGCTATCCTCCTTGAAAGTTCTCTCCCGCACACACGGAAAGGACACCTGCCGTGCGAGTCACTTGGAGTCGTCCGGAAGGGGGTTACGATGAGTGAACTAAGCAAAGACAAATCGCAACTTGAGTCTTGAGCGACATATCTCGAGAGCTTTACGGAACACAAGCCCCTAGCACCACTTGTGTGGTAGTCGATTCTTTATAAATGACCAAGTCCCATGCTTTAGGCTGATGCTGACGGTGACTCTGGAGTTCTCTGCCTCTACCCCGAGATGTAGAGATGACGTCTTGCACTGTTCCTCGACACTGTTACCACATCAGAGGTTTTTCTTCAAATTTCTTCCACCAAGGGTCTTGAACGTCGATGTTTTTGTCAGTGCTGGTACAGTATTGCTGTACCATTTTTGAAACTTACAGGGCCTTGTTTAAAAAAATACTATTTTTTTTAAGGATATGTTTAAGTTGGGTTTTGTTTTCATCGAATCTCCGTCGACCCCAGTGACTCACAGCTGATGTAGTTTTTAGTGTGTATGAGCTTTTAAGGAAGACTGGTACAGTTTGTCGATAACGATCCGTTCGTTTCGTAATATAAAGGCGGTGGTCTAGAAACTTGCAGGGGTTTTTTTGCGCGTTTGCATCGTTTACCTTTTCTTTTAACCTTGGAGAAGCTGTCAACAACCGCAGGCGTTGTTGCTATCAACCCATCCAGCAGCCAACGTTGCCGGTGCTACCGCTCACACAAACACGTGAAACTAAAGGCCAGACCTGCACCACCGTTGCACTGAGTTGGTAGGATACGGATATGGTGGTGGGTGGGGGGTGGCATGTTGGTTAGTGGTGGTAGGAGCAGCATAACACGACACGAACGATACTGTTAACAACAACAACGACGACGTTAGGGACTTCATTGCGCTAACGAACGTGGCGTCGGCTTCGTACATTTCCCAATATCGTCCCCCATCATCGGCACTTGTAATTCAGTCACGTACGGGAACCCTCCACACTGCGGGTCCACGCATGGCCCGGGAGGAGGGGGGGGGTCATGGGGCCCGAAGCAAAATGAACCCGGGAGAATGATTGTGTGTGTGTGATGCTGGTGCTTGCTGTGTGTATGGTTATGGGGGGCAGCGGGTTTTGCGCTACTTAAAGAGGATACCCGGTGCAAGGTACACACGTATGATGTCGTACACGTACCGAGGTCGTCTGTGTCCTTGTAAGATTGTGGGAGGAGCACAGTTACTCTCACGATTAGAATGCGTGCGCTCTATTTATGTTGTGGATGTTGGCACAGTATGTTATATATATACACACACACCGCATGCTGTGTATAATCACGTGTAGTCATATTCGGTAGTGTGCTGATTATTATGTCAAGCACAAGTACCTGTACTTTATTTCAGTGTGTATACTGTACGTATGTAAACTTGTGTACTGTACGATATATGCAGAGTAATACGTTCAGTAGAGGCATTGTTACAGTACATGTACGTGTAATACAGAAAATGTGTCGTTCAGCACTTTGTATAGTAGTGTACAATATATATACACAACTACTACAATGACGTATTCTCACTGTACATTAAGCAACGTGTTGTGGAGCAGTCTGTGTACTGTAGTATTACTGTATTTATACTATGTCCGCATGCCATGCAGTACGAGTACATGTAAACATACTGTCTGAACACAGTATATTTAAACGTATGTGCTGTGATTAAGCACATTGTACAGTATATGGAACCACGTAGTCTATACAAGTGTGTTGTGGTAAGCATTGTCAATGTTTACAGTAGATGTAATAATGCGTATAGGCTACATGGTATGCATACTTTTGAAAGAGTACTCCATAGTTTATGCACGTTCAATACTAAATATAGCATCCATGTGTACTGTTCTAAGGGCGTTGTATACATTATCCGTAAGCACGTGTAAACAGTACAGGGATTTACTTTAGTTGTGTACCATACAAATGCAGTAGAGTTGTATTATAGTAAGACTATTTTATGTAACGGGCATATTCAATTATCTGTAAACAGCACGTCCGTAACTAAATTACTGAAATGTTGTGTTTTTATTTCTAGACGAGTGTGCACTGTCCATCGTAGGACAAGAAAATTGCCAGCGCTGCTTGTGCAAAGCGTATTGCGTCAAAGCTTGTGTGTCGTGTGTACATTATATAGGTAGGTAGTGTTCAGAGCGAGTACTGCATGCCTGTCGACACATACGGTAGCACGTAATCACGTACTGTCGCAAGGATGTAAATGTTCAGAGTACTGTAGGTATACAGTAGATGTTGGCGTGTGTATATGGATTGCAGCGAGTACCGTATGTAATCGTGTGTAAACCGAATGTGCGTAACCTAGCCGATGAAAGCGTTGTGTATTAATACTGCGTACGTGCATTATGCTTCTAAGTAGGGGCCATGCTAATTGCGTGCGCCACGCGTATTGTAATGCGGTGTGTGTCTCTGCTGCCGTTTCACGCGGTGACCGCGCCGGCTCGCTCTGCTCATGGCTCTCGTTAATTGAATAGTCCACGAGCTTCGTTCTCGGCACATTTAATAGTGTGCGTGCTTGTATGCTGCTCTCTCATGCCCGTGCGTGGCTCGCTCTTTTGCTCGCGTTTCGTTATCGTCCTACCCTTGCATTGCGCTATCTTGCACGTAGTATTATCCAACACCCGTGCTTTTGTCGCTCTTCACGCCGATTGGCTCGTGTGTTCTCCATACGCGCTCCCTCCTTTGCGTTGACGTGTGTTCTATTAGCGCGTGTCCCTTATTCTGTAAACGCTCGTGTGATGTTCGCGCCCTCGTGCAAATTTTTACGTGCGTGGCTCCCGCATGAATCGTCGTACATACTCATGCACGTGGTTCTGTGCGCGCGCATTTATACCCCGCCCCTCTAGTTACGCCCCCTACCTCCTAGCCACGCCCTTCTCTCCTAACCACGCCCATGACTCCTCCCACCCAACCCCGTCTTTCTCCCTCCCCCACCACCACACCTCGCCCTATTGCTTTGACGTGCCCGCGCACGCACGTGACCGCGTGTTTTCGCGGGAGTGCGCGTGCTCGCACACGTGCCCGCCCTCTTCCGGGTGCCGGCGATGACGGGAATGTGCGACACGTGGTTCCCCCACAGCTCTTAAACTCCCTCCCACCCTTGCCCCACCGCCCCAAAAAAAAATAGTGGCATAGTTATTCCTTGTCCTGTAAACTCTGGCTTGCAATAAGCGCCACTGTCAAATGTATTAACGAGCCCCGTTACTTACAAACTATTTAAAATCTATATATTTGAACAGTTACGACCCACTGAGCTATATAGCTCTTTTTCAGAAGCGACCTGGCCACAAATTAAAACGAAGTGGTTTATGTGGAAATTGATAGTAGCCAAATACTCCAAACGCACAGAAGTGTGTGTATGTAGCTACAGGTCGCGAACTCTTGAGATGTTTAAGCTGTCAAAATTCGACTTGACCTTTCAGAAACCCACGTGTTTTAGTGCTTTGTGGTTGTACTGGCCTTGATCATTATCGTTCGTGTGTACAATTTGTAAATGAGCCCCTTTTGTGTTCGTGGTCACTCTCCAAATTTTAAAGGTGACGTATGTAAGTTGAACTTCTTTTGCACCATACATACCCAACTATGATAATTATAGAAATAATGAAAGTGCTTAGGGTTGCAGTCGTTAACATGTGATCCAGTCTGACTTTATTTTTCGTGGAACATTGATATGATTAAAGTTCTGTTAACCCCAATGCACAAAACATTTAGTTATCCACGTGTGCATATGGAGGTGCACTCATAATTACAATAGACTGTTAAAATTTAAAGCATAAAAGAGTATGATGAACTTGCAAAATGTAACAAATACATTTAAATTTTCTATTAGAAAAGGCATTCCTCAATTGGAATCATGGCTTTTCAGTGGTCTGTGCAAATATTGCTTTCAGATCACCTGTTACCTTAATTCCATAGTTTGCACAATAGCTTCTCATTGTTGCACTGTCCATCGTACCATATAAACTAATTAAGGCAATCGTTTCCCTTGAAGTGCCCCAGTCAATATGTTTTTGGTTGTGGGGCAGCTGCTGTCTCGGTTGGAGCGCATGGAGAGGCGAATGCTGCTGGCACGGAGAGATGGTGAAAAGAATGACCAGCAGATTCGGAGGGACCGCAAGGAGCAGCTCAAGGAGAGGAACGAGGAAAATGAGGGTCTGGAGGGTTCTCCGCAGGAACAGCCTCCACGGTCGCCCCTGTCACCACAAAAAGCTACAGATCAGCATGGCCACAAAAGGTGATACATGCTAAAGTTTGGCCAAAATCAATGTCAATGTGGTGCTGTTATATTTTGTAACATTGGCGCTATATGTTAATTGACATTTAAAACCCAGCGTAAAAATGATTATCAATGCTGTTGGCAAGCATAATTGCAACATATTTTTGCATATTCAGCGACTTTGTTTTTTTTTATAATAGTTGCAACTTTACAATGATGTAAACATTTTTCACTTTCTCTTAGGCCTCAGAGCCCTGGCGAACATGACCCAGGGCCCACTGCAAAGAAGCTGGCAATGGAGAGTGAGAATGAGAGCAGCCAGCCAAAGGCACTTACGCGAACTCCAAGCAAGCCTGCCAAGGGCAGGACTTATCACGGAAAGAATGGGAGAAAGTTCTCCAGGCGCAAAGGCTGGGCCCGATGCAAAGCATTGACTGCCTTGAACAGTGCGGCAGAGACGACAAATGCTGATTCACTGTCCACAGTTTGCCGCCTGAAAAACAAAACGGACAAGACAGAGGATTCAAGCCCTGTGCGGGAATCGTCAGAGCCATGTGAAACCCCTGAAATTGTGCGACCGTGGGAAAGGAGTAAGGGAGTGAATCGTAAAAAGAATTCATGCGTAAAATCTGCTTTGCCTGCGACACCAGAATTAACAGAAACAGATATTGGCAGCCCACGAACACCTTGGCATAAAAACAAGAAGAAGGTAAACTCAAATCACCTGTCACATTCCCCTGCTGAGTTGAGTTCAAAAAACAGCAAAGCCAAGGGTGGCAGTAGGGCAGCATTGGAGCTTGACACGCCAAGGCCCTCACAGTGGTCAAAGGGCAAAAAAGGTTCGAACTCGGCGAATCATTCCCCCAGCTCACCTGCCGAGACCAGCACACCTCAGAGCTCGCGGACAAAGGGTGGCAAGGCCTCATTGCCGGTTTGCCCCAAACGTTCGGGCTGGTCCAAGGGTGGCAGGGCACGGGGGAAGTGGAGGCAGGCACATGCCAGCCCGGCACCCGGAGGCTCGTGCTCGCCTCTGCGCGCGTGCACAGCAGACGATGGACGGGACGAGGAAGAGGACCCTGTTTTACGGACGAGTGAAATGTACTGGTGTTACCAATTTCAGCCACCTGCCGTCTCCATGGATGAGCCCATCCTCACAGAGAAGGACGACACTGTCGCAAGTCAGTGTTTTTAGCTTTGTAATGCAGTTATTTTTTCAAGTATCCTGATATGGAATGTTACCTGTTATTAGATACAAATTTGAGAGCAAATGAACCTGTATACTAAAGCAAATGTGTTGTAATGTTTTTGTTACAGTTCCCTCATGGAGAGAAATTAAACTGGAGCCTTTAGACAAAATCCAGTCTGAATATTTGCTGGAGGTAAGCTACTCACTCAACATTTTTAATATATTCATTTCTTTTTTCATGAAATGCCGTGGCCACCATTGATTGTTTTATTGAATTGATTTTGAACAGAATACTGAAGATGAAGCCTTCAATAAGAGACACACCAAACATGAGTTGGATGAAAAAAGGAGGAAACGGTAAGCCTATTAATAATCACTATTTAGATTTGGGTAACTATTGTATTTCAAACTTTTCAGCCACTAATATGCTATACAGTTTGTGGCTTCATCAGTGTTTTATAATTAAATTGGTTAAGTGTTTTAAGAAGTTGTTTTAACACATACCCGCCATTGTATATATTTTCCTGGAAAATATGCTTAACACTGCAGTGTGTGTAAAATAATGATCCAAGCAGCAAGAAAAAATAGCCTACATTCACAGAACGCAAGTTGTGCGTTGTTTCTATATGTTGGGAAGTGCTTGTGATCTGACACAAAAACTTGAACAGGTGGGACATCCAGCGAATTCGGGAGCAGAGGCAGCTACAACGGCTGCGGGAAAGGGCATTTCGCAAAGAAGGAATACCTGAACCTGAGCCAGAGATGTTATCCTTCTTCCCTGAGCCTGAGGATGGTGGGAGACTGCACATGTACACACATGTTCAAGCAAAACTCATTTTTTATGGCTTTGTAAGGCTAGTTTTCATAGCTTCCAGAATTTCATATTTTTATATTGTCATTATGAGATGGGCAATTGATTGCATACTTTTTATATCTTGTTCTTTCAATTTGTATACAAACATGTCAATTTCTGTATGTATTTCAACAAAGACAGTGGTTGAGTAAAGTTTTTTAGTGTAGGTGTTTCCTGAAATGTGTTTACTTTGTAAAAATAAAATTAAACACTAGCTATTAAAGGACTATATTGCGCTGGTGAAGTATTGTGTTTGTAATCGATATAATTTTGCAGTTTGGCAAAATGTTTTAATAGTTCTCTTAATTTGGGGTTTTCTGCTATATTTTTTTTACAGTGGAGGAGTTGGAGGTAACACCATTGCTGCCTGTCATTGCTTTTGGAAGGGCTTTACCAAGATTATTGCCACAGTATGTACCACATGAACATCATCTTGTATTTTGTCTCAAATAACATATATGTTTTACTTGTCTAGAAAGTCTAGCAATGGCTGTTGTAGCTTGCTCTAATAACAGTAAACCAAGCTTCATTTGATTACATTTATCAATTTGAAATGCAGTATATTCTGCTGAAGGAGTAAAGATAGCTGTAAAATTTGCTCATTTGTTGCTGTGCTGGGATCAAGAAACATGAGCAGCCCATCATCATTTGGACTTTGCGATCTATCCATAGCATTGAAACAATACGTGTTTTCCTTTAAATATGAACACTATCGGAACATTTGACACGGTTCGAATATATCGCATGATCAAAACAACATTTTTTCTGCATTTGAAGGGACTTTGAGCTACCGTGGCTTGATGACAGAACGAGGCAGAGGTTGGAAACCCCCAAGAAAACGTCACATGGCCGAGGGCGGTGCAGGTGAGGTCTGCTTGTCGGCGGGCCCTCAATCTGTCCAGCTACCAAGGCAAACTCTGCGACTCGGCACACTCCAGCTCGCTCACTGGCGTGGACGAGTGCCGCCGATCACAAGATTGCCCGGGAACTGGGGAGGACGGCTTTTGGAAATGCTGCCGACATACCAGACTTGAAATTTTATGAGACTCGTAAAGAGATTTTGTGATGATGTTTACACGTTCAGGTCCAACGAGGAGACCTCCACATTTGTTTGCTCAGGCTGTTTTTTCTTACGTTTTCTTTTCTGTTTATGAAGGTTGCACCTCATGGTTGTGCAAAACTGAATGATGTGAACCAAGATTTTTTATCTAATGGCAAGTTTTGTTGTTTTGGTTTTTTGCTCTGTTGGCTCCACTTTCTACGTGGGTTTGCCTTTTGTCATTCCTTTATATGATCTCTTAAAACTGTTTTTATTCGTATAAGCACATTTGCACTTGAGCATGCATACAAACAGCATTCATTTATTTTAACAGTTGACAATTTAAAATACGGGGTAAAGATGTTGCGTTGACTTAAAAAAAGGCAAGTCTATCTAACAAATCACAAAAGAATCTGTGCAAATGTTATTGCCATCATTTTTTGTAAGCATTCTAATCATTTGTCCAAATGACTGCATCCATGGTACTGTAACTGCTTTAATTGTGCTGACATGCTTGGTGCTTTGTATTGCCATTGGAAAGCAGTGTGATGTAGATAAAAACGCTCCATCTTATAATCTTCTGTAGACATTGGTGCTTTGTGCACAGTGTACCTGACATTAAACTGCACTATGTAAGCTTCTCTATGTTTTAAAGCAGTTCTGGAACATGTGCTTTGCATCCCAAGTAGATCTGTAAAATAGGAATATCAATGATGGTAAACATACTTTTTTGACCTCTTATTTGCATACCATTTTCGAGAAGTGCTTGAGGATTTGCCTCGTTTAAGTGTTTACAAAAAGGAAGGTAATGTGTATGATTTTTTGATGCACTGAGTAAAGAATTTGACAATGTGCAGATGGAGAACTTACACAAGATAATTGACTTGATGCACTTAAATAGTCGAAAGACCAACACTTACTGTATTGCTGCAAAATATTGTTTAGTACTAATACTACATATGCACAAAATTACCTATTCTCTAGACAATTTATTGACCACTTGTTGGTGTGGATCATTTGTAGACTTTTGTCATCTGAAAGCCATGAAGGTTGATTTTTCGGCATATACACGATGACACTTGGTTGTACTTTACCATGACTGCAAGGATTCAAACTCTTTGGTTTTTTCGGTAAAGTCACGTAGGTAAAAAATAAAAATAAATTAAATACATTTTTTACCTACGTGACTTTACCGAAAAAACCAAAGAGTATGTACTTTACCAGTTTAATTTTGGCTATTTTTTTGCTATGGAGTCTGGTATGAGCGTCCTAGCAATTTGGTGCATCCAAAATGTCTGATCATTCGCAAATAGTAACATGGTCCACACCATTGCTAAATTAAAGTCTTGGCAATTTCTCATCCATTTATAAGAGGATAAGTTTCTCTCGTGTGATATGGTGTACAATACAATCGTTTATGTCCATCGCCCCCCCTTCGAGGTTGAACAATGCTGAATTACTTTTGACTGCAAGATTGTCTTGACACCGATTGATTCAAAAGATCCTCTTGTGTTCAAAGCACATGATTCTGATGCATAGATTAAAGAAAAGCTCTAATGTTAACATAAATCCATTCTATTCAAGTACCTTGCTTTTTTAGCCTGTGCTTACTGTTTCAAGTGTGTGGTGTGTACTGCACCATGGCACGTGGTAAATGTCAATATTGTATTCAGTATATTGTGACCACTGGTTTAACTGAATATTGTCTTCGTATGGAGACGGCTTAGATAATACAGTGTATATATTGTTTAAAACAGTGACGGATTCTGTACAGTAAAAACTGCCATTTAATGCTGAAAGATGTTGCTGGGATGGGCTGTAAAATGTAAACTAAGGAATTTGTTTTGTACTGACAAGTTTGTCATGAATGTAGATAATAAACCGTAAAATGTTTCTTGTTAAAAGATATTTCATGGCGTTTTTGATATTGTCTTTGAGGAGAGGAGCTGCGAGCACTCACTGCATGCCCGGAGAACTTGACCGGAGCACATCGTGGGCAGCGGAGTGAAGTACAATAAAACATAATTGTACTGTACTTATATGCTGCCATGTCTTTGCTCCCACCTTCAACAACCCACATTGACCGGTGTGATCAAATAAACCCCACACCCTGCACGGCGTGGAGGTCGTCTTCACCTCGCAGTGGATTGACACGAGGATTGTTGAAGTATAGCGCAGTACCTCTCATCAGCAACTTGGGACGAAGTGTGGTTTTGCAACAATTTGGCTGGGTCGCCATTGAAAAAAAGAGAATCTTACATTAATGGGCCTCACTCGAAATAAACTGCAGCTTTTGTACGATGACATGACTTTAATGTACCGTACATCACAGCGTGTATCGGAGGAAGATCGGTTGCGCACTTCCCAATGAACATTCAAAAGTTCGCCTTAACGAGTTTGCCCAGAAGATGGCAGCATAGGCACTTAAGTTTGTCACCGTGAAGACGACTGGCACGCACGTCTTGAAGGGCAGCGTAAAGTCACTTTGTTCGGATACAAATTATACATCGCAGAAGTGTGCAAAAAGATGAGCGAAATTAACACGTTGAGGATAGAAACATTTACAAAATGCATCCCGCAACTTAAGCAGACGATATGCCTTCACATATCCCTATCCCTCCATGTAAAATAATATATTAAAGTACATTTTACTCATCAGCAACACGGCCTTGTGGGAGTGCATAATTTTAGCAGCAATTCAATGCGGCAAATGTTTATAGGCAATGGCCCTCTTACACCAAGCTTGGGTTCCAGCTCGACGCAAACCCATATATACTCCATTGGTGTGCATAACACTGTTGTCTCACGTCTTCATATGGACACTTAGCCACAACACATTCTTGCGGAGGGAGCAGGTAGGAACGTTGGGTTGCTCGGTCAATGGCCAGGGTCAACGGCGGCGTGGTGTATTCCGCAAATATGCCCGACTGTGAGGGCGGGCACAAGCCGGCGTGAGTAGGTTAAACGTTGAGTTTTATAAGGGCACCACGGGGGGACCAGCCCCTCCCCACCCAGCACCACCCCCACCCAGCCCCACCCAGCCCTCCCCACCCAGCCCCTCCCCACCCTCCCCACCCAGCCCCTCCCCACCCTCCCCACCTAGCCCCTCCCCACCCTCCCCTCCCCACCCACTCACCCAGCCCCTCCCTCCCTCCCCACCCAGCCCCTCCCTGCACGACGGACGGACGGACATAATAATCCCCTGTGGGCTGGTGTAACCAGGAGGTTCCAATCAGTATTATTTGAAGTCTATAACTTCGTGTATGTCCTCCTAAATGACTAATACAGAATGTTCGTGGTGATGTGGAGGACCAATACCGTGCTTCCTATTATCCGCAAAGAATTACTGCGGATAATTTTGGATCATAGGATTAATAGGGCTGGATAATAATATGACCTCTGGATTGCAAGTCGAATGTCCATACCATCTAGCGTACTGTGCAATATACGTTTGTGAAAAAGGAGAAAACACGCTTACACGTATGATATGTAATTAAACAGAGCTCCCAACACCACGCAGCAGGTAACAAGGTCCGTTCGATAAGCGCTCAACTGTACGGTAATTCCCCCAACAAAGATTGATCCAGAGTGTGTATGAAGTGTTAATTAAATGCGTCCTATGGTGAAGACTGACCGGTGGCTCTCCGTGTCGTGTCACTTGGCATTACAATTGTGGCAAAAGCGACGAAAAAAAAAATCAAAGCTATTGTTGTTTCACTTGGCTATTTTAAATACCCAAACCCCATGCACAAGACTCCGAGAGCATGTCGCCAAGTGGTTAAATTGAAAGGACATGGCAGCGGAAGATCTTCATTCACTGACCAATAAACTGTTTGCATTGCATAGGAAAATGTGACAGCACAATATATGTAAAACGATCTTTAAAACATTAACTCGCAATTACATTTGGTGCTCTATTGACTATATAACAATGCTATGTTTTAGTACCCATTTAAATACAAAGAATGTATGAAGTAGAGATCATCCGTGCAAAAGATAACTTAAAAGACAAAAACAGGCCTACAGGGAGTGATTGCCATTGCCAGCTGCCATGTGATGACTGAAGAGAGAGGAGAGAGAGGGAGATTTTATAATTATTCCAATTTTTATTTACCCAAAATAACCTCATTGAGTCCCGAAACTTTTCCAGGAAGGTCCTGCATTCGGATATTTGGCTAACACGATTGACGAGTGGCATCTCGGAGGAAACCGGAGTTTATCTGAAGAAAACCCATGCACAGGAGGGGGTAACATTGAGCACGATCATCTCCTGGCCACTTTGCGGCCCCTATTTACAACAGCTGACTGGGGCCAGGTGGTCAGCCATCAAAATCTAACCAGGATTAAACCTTGACTTAAAGCTTTCGTGACTGCAGGAATTCATACTCTTTGGGTCTTTCGGTAAAGTCACGTATCTACATATCTACGTGACTTTACCGAAAGACCCAAAGAGCAGGATTAAACCTGTTTAGTGTCTTAGATTCTTAAAAATTAGGTGCATTTATGGTAATTTGATGTTAGGCTGAAGCTGAAAATATGAACAATAAAGCTGAAGTTGTCAAATGGAACACCATGGATAAAATGGTAATTTTAGACATAATTGAAACATGCCTTAGGAGTACCAAATTACATTTGAAATAATGCAATTTCGTGTTCTTTGCCAGCCCATTTCATGAAATATCAGCATTCAACAAGAAATTCCCATAAATCATGTGTTTTTCTTTAAAACATGACATTGAATTCGCTCGTGTTTCAAATGTAATTCTTCACGTGTCATATTACATCAATCTCTAGAAATACTGCTTTGGAGAATGGCAAATGAAGACAGTTTCATTACATGGTGTTTGCACTAGGGGTCAGCAACACACTGCAGTCACATAAAAAAAAAACATTCCGATTGCAATGAAGTTGAAAATCTGTTTGCAAGAAATTGGCAGCCATCTGTAGTGCAACATTTTTGTGAATCACCCACGCTTCGCTAACTTGTCATCTACAATAAACAACTACAATATCTCTTACTCAAATTTACTTCAAACAGACTGACTTCCTTTCTAAAATCAGGCAAAACTCAAGGAAAAAAATAATAATCCACTTTGTTGGATATAAAAAAGGCTTTCATTAACAACTGTCAACGCCACAGTACAATGAAGTGGTCATAATGTATTATGTATATGTAATATGTCCTTTGAGTGCATTCTGGCACTGGATGCAGTTTGTAAAGCATGTATGGTATGGTATGTGAGCTATTTGGTAATACGACATTGGCAGCGATGCACAAGCACACACAACAGAAACTCTCAACACATGTGCGTCAATGACACTGCCTTTAAAGGTGAAATATATCATAGTAAACGTTTTGGGAAATGGCCCTTCTTCATAACACATTGATCGTAATTAGTAGAAGCAAGTGTTGCACTTCAGGTAGCAACCAGGGTGTGTGCTTTTCACCCTCTGCTCTTATCACCTCTTGCCATACACGTGGCAGAACATTTATGTGGAGTACTGGCTTTTTTAACATAAAAATCAGTGCATTTTAGGGTTAGTAGTTTTAAGAACGGTTTTAAAAGAAGTAACTTTGAAAAAAGTTTTTAAATATGGGAAATGGTAGCAAAGGTATTGTAGCCACAAAATTATGGTCTACTTTTCAAACGTTACTTTGCTGACATATAGAGCACATGATGCAGTTATGAGACTTATGATCGATACTGTGTTGTGACTGCTAACATGTATTTTAAGTACAGTATACCGGCTGGAATATCACTTATAATTACTGGATTGTGGTACACTCCACAATTTTGGTATTGTGCTATATTATCTCACACCTGTACATATCCATAACTGCACTCATGACCTACCCTGGTATGAAGCTTTCATAGAAGAATGTAATATTTCATTCAGAAGCTGTTCCATAATTATACCGTTTTATAATAAAGCCCTTTAATTACTAAGGAAAACTTTAACGAGTCTCAGGTCTCTTATTTTCATTTGGGTTCTTGATTTTTTTTTACTTTAATGAGTAGTTGGCATGTGGGAGGAAATCGGAGTAGCCCATATATATACAATGTGGTGACACTCAAAGTTCCACACAATGAGATTCAAGAAGCCAATGCCATCCATTCATAAACACGTCATGGCCACCTAGCAGCCCAAGCCAACAGTATTTCATATTCCCAGGCAGTCCCCCATCCACGTCCTCGCGGGGTTTCACCTTGCTTAACTTCAGAGATTTTACGAGATCGGTCGCATTCATGCATGCGGGCTGACAGTTTTTTCCATGCATTGTGGAATGCATGAGTGTAATGTTAAAATATACGGCAGAGGATAGCTATGACTTTTTTAAACGGCATTGTACAGAAGGTATATTCAGTTTAGGCAGAGGCTTTGAACCCAATATTAAAAACTTTGGTTGTTAAATTTCTGCACATCGAAAGTTTAAAAAGGTCTCACAGATATGTATTGCCCATGTTTTATACATTAAAATTAATGTTAAGCTTTGATTAAAGCAACCACACACGTAGTTGGTGCCAAACCGTTTCTAATATTTTAAATAGTCTTCTTCCATATGTCGATATAACAATAATACATTTTTGCCACGGACGACAAGGTGGTAATTTAGTTTGGCATGGCCTTGCTTTATATCATCACTATTCAGTAGTGCACCGGCCTTTGTGTATGCTCATCGCTACTTTCCAACTGGCCAGACCTGCCCTTCCAGAAATGGTAGCCCAGAAGAAGGGGAGTTGTAGTCAGTGTAAGGCCTCAAGGGTGATTGATTTGCCTCAGGAGACAGCATTCCTTTCCCCGGCGTAATCCCCTATCTTCAACACCCCAATCTAGCAGCTCACCTGGTGCGTAGCGTACAGTACGCTCAGGCACTACATTTTCTGGTCCCACTAAAGCAATGGGAT